TTGTTTTTGTTGATTGTTTAGTCCCTTTACATTAAGGCTTGCAATTTTAAATTTAAATTGTCTAGTCATATTAATATAGAGTAGTATAGATTTCAGATCTGTAAATTCTGTGCTCTATTACAAAATTTTTTATATGAAACAGATCTGGTTGTTTTAATTTTCTGATTTATAAGATCTTTTTTAATTTTTATTGTTTTTTTTTTCTTTGTAGAATTAAGATGAATCCATTATCTGAGTTCTTTGGTTGAAGTTGTAGCTTGTTGTCATTTGTAATTAGCATAACTAGAGTATTTAGAGCTTTTGGTTTTTTAATTTCTATTAAAGAACCTGTAGCTGGATTTTTATAACAGATACTTTATTATTGGTGCTATTTATAACTTCATCAACTAGACAATTGAAATTTTTTTCTGCTAGTATAGTATTGTTTATTTCATTATTTTCTTGGCTAATCACTATATTTAGAGAGGTTTCTTCTTGTTGAGACACTTCAATATCTAGTTTTTCCAAAACATTGTTTTGTTCTTGCTAAATTACATTTATATTTTCTATATTTACTGATAAAAGTTTTTCTTTTCTTTTGTTAAAGAGAAATTCTTTATATTGGCAACAAAGTTCAATAGTTTCCTTATATTAACTGCAATCTTTTTTAATATGTTTCTTATTGTCACAGAAATAATAAAACTTAGGAGCTACATGCCATTCTGTAGTAATCTTGTTGTCAAGCAAAATATAAAATCATAGAATTCTTTTTTCTAAATTTGAGTTTTCTATAGTTTTGAAAGTAATGATTCATTAATTAGTTAAATAAGATGTGCCTTCTATTAATAGTAGCTAATTAAGACAATTTTACTAAAGTTCTTGAAAGCATTTTTGATTCTCTCTGAAATAAACTACTTATCACCTAAAGGGACATTTCTGATTTTGACTAGTAAAAAGAATCTTCTAGAATTGACTAAAATATGTCCATAGTATGTACAATTATAGATTTCAACCCCTTTTGTAGTATAATGTTTGAGCCTTTCCTCATTGGTGAAGATAAGTTCCAAATGAATATAAGATCTCCTATTTATATATGATTTAACAATAATTATGTTATATCCTACTATTTTGTAGAGAGAAATCATAATTTCATTTAATGTATTATTAAGATTATAGATATTTAGTATAAGCATATTATCATTTTTAGATCTTATATTGTTTCTTGATGAGAATGAAAAGAAGATTGATTGCTCTCTCTTGACTTTTGCAAATAAGCTTAATCATGATTTACTTATAACCTCTTTGTTTTTGTTTATACCAGATATATTAGGTTTTGCAAAAGATGTATTATTTTGTTTTATATAAGATGTTGTTGTTTTGTTTTTATTTTTATTTTGTTTTTTCTAGACATGTCTTAGAACTAGATATGACTGTATTTTTATTTTTATTTTCTTTTTCTTTGAAAAGTCTTTTTTTATTTTTTAAAATAACTTGTTTATTCTAGCTAATACTATCCAAGAAGTTGTCTTACATAGAAGCAATTAGATTGTTATAGATAGTTTTTGTTGTCATAGTATTTTTTTTAAGAAGAAAATTAATTTCAGTTTTTGTTAATTGTTTTTTTGTCAAAGAGCTTGTTGTTAGTTTAGTTTTCTTATTCTGTAGACTTCAAAAATAAAAGTTTTATGTTTTTTAGGAACAAGAAGAAGAGCCTCTATTCTGTTACTGTTTTTAAAGTTAGTAAAACTCTAAGTAGAGTTTATTTTGTCTTCTTTAAAATTATCTTCTTTTCTAAATGTAATGGTCAGAAGAAAGAGATTATCAATTTTTATATTAATTTTTTTTAAAAAATAAACTAAATTATTTATTTTTAATAAAATTTTTTTTGATAAAAAATAATAAGTCATTAAAATTATATATAATTTTTTAAAGATTTATATAATTTAGTACATATGCATTATAATGCACTTATCTGGTCAACCAATTAGATTGTAAAATTGAATATAACATAAAATTAAAAGAAAATACTAATTTTTCTAAAAATTGTTTGTAGTTCATAATTTTGTTTATAAAACTATTTTTTATATTCTAATAAAAAAATTCTTGACATAAAAATTATTTTTACTATTACTTAATTCTAATCTATCTTAACACTAACTCTTACTCTAAATTAATATATTAATTGGTTTGTTTTGATTTTATATTATACCTGATCTTATAAGTGCATTACAACATATATACACAAAATAATAATAATCTTTTTAAAATTTATTATTATATTATAATATTTTTATACTTCTATAATTTTAATTAAAACCTTTGTTTTATTATATTCTAAAATATATTTTTAATTTAGATATTAAACATATTAAAAACAATTTACTAACAGAAAACTTGATCTAAAATATAAATCTACTAAGAGTTTTATAATGCTTTTTAATATTAATATATTTTTAATTTATTAAAAATAAAAGTAATATTTATTTAAATTTTTTATGTTTTTTTGCAACTTAGTTTTTTGTATTGTTATTCAGAAGGCAATCAGAAAGAGTTGTGTTTATTATATTTTTAACTAATTGTTTTATTATAACTTAAATTAAACAAATTTTAAAACTATAATTTTTATATTAAACATTATTTACTAATCAAACTAATTTTAAATTAATCTTAAACTTATAGTTTTAAAACTAGTTGTTAAAATAGGTTTAAATTATTTTAAAACTATAATTTAAGCTAAGATCAAACTAAATTTAATCAGTTTATTTTAATTTTAAACTATTTTATAGTTAGTTATAGTTTTTTAATCTAAATTAAACTAGTTAATTTTTTTAATAATCTATAAACCAAAACTTATATAATTAATATATTGTAAGAACTAAATATACTTAAGTATTAAATCTAAACCTTCTTATTTTTATTTAAACTAATTAATAAGTAGTAATAATAAAAGTTTATTTAAATATAACATGATAAAACAATTTTAAAACATCTCTAGTTACTTTATTTTACAATACAGTTTAATATAGTTTAATAAATAATAGATAATGTTGAACACCGGTGGTGTGCTTTAGTAATCTCGTATATGTGTGTGCATATAGTACATGTATTGTTGGTTACTGCTTACAGTACCCAGGTCTTATTCAAGAACAGCATTTTTAAAATTTAATATACTGTGTGTACTATATATTTGGGAATATATTACTGTATTAAGAGCAGTAAATCAGTAGATCTTATTAAAGAAACAAGCCGGTAAAAATGATGAGTAATACGTACCAGGTCTTAGTCACTGGGGGTATTGTTTTTGGGAGATACTGTAAGCAGTGGTAAACGGTATATATGTGTATGTGTATGTCAGGCAAACTACCTACCAATTGACTGAAATCGGTTAGATGACTAATTAACGAGCTAGTTAATCTATTAGCGAGTCCTATCATTAATTTTCATTACAATATGAGGTACATAGTATTGTAGGTATGTAGTAGGTAGGTACAGTACGTACCATCCAGCGTATACTAAAAGACCCCCTTTTATAATACCCCTACCGATGTTCGGAGGCCTAGAATTTAAAGTATTCCAGGTATTAAGGACAGATTAATTGAACTTGGGAATGTAAAATACCCGGGTACTAAAGATGGTTAATTACATTTAGAATATATAAAATATTACTGCGGCACTCATATAAATGCAACTTATACCCCCTACACTGACCATAGCATCCCTCCGACTATAATACCCATATATACAGCTTAAATTGTACGGTACGTATTTATATGGTTTTATCCGGAATTGGATGTTATATTACCAACAACTATTCGGAGATTAATACAAAAGTGACAAAATTTAATTAGTTTATATTCTGCATAAAAAAGTTTTTACTACGTAATAAAAAAACAAATTATCGATATGATCTGCACTCTGCAATTATATCACTTGGCTGAAAATTATGTAAAGCATCATATTGAATAAAAGTGATAACTAACTGTAAATACTTCAATTCATATAGATCTGTGCAAAATATACTAAATATATTCGCTGAAAAATGTTAATGCTAGAGGTGCGATCATAACTCTGTAGTGTCAGTTGTAACTTTTACCAACGCAGATAGTAACCTATGTAACCTATAATGCAGGTTGTAAACTATGTTTATTACATTACGATCTTGTGTATTATGTTATTATTTTCGTTTCAATATAATATTCTCGTTACAGTTAGTGGTGCGCCATTGAGTCGTAATTAATGACAAATGCTGTCAAGGGAAAATGAGACTTCGGGAAAAACCCTTATCGGTGATATACGCAAGTGAAGTTCAATTGAATATTATCGTTATATATCATTAATCAAAAGTTCAGAGATACGTTACATAATTGAAAGCCAAAGCCTCATTTTCTTTGACAGATTGCTGGGCTCAAGCTATTAAAATTTCAAGGACCAAAGCCTGGTTTTCCGTTAGAGTCATCATTAATGGTTCGAAATAGAAGTCACCAATTTCTATGGATCTTGACATTAAAATATTTAATTATAGAATATTTGATATGTAATAATGGGATTTTTAATTAAAAATTATATAACGTACAAAAAAACTTCAACGCCTAAAAGTCTTATTTGGTTTATAGATACCGATACAGCGTACATAAGTTGCAGTATGACATTTAAGAATAAACTTTGAGCAATGATCGCACTTTTAGTTACTGCTATTTATTTATGAATACAGCCTGTTTGGTCCTATATATATCACTTGACGCATCTGACGAATAAAATATCATGGTTTACAGGAAAATCCGATGATTAAAAAAAAAAAAAAATCTGAAGCATAATTGGAAGCAGTACTTAAAAGGACAAAATCAAAGGATATTTTTATAAGTACCTGGTTGGTTGAAAATATCATTCCTGAAAAGGTGAATAGATGGTGTAAGGGGAGAACAAATTATGCAAAACACTAAAGGTTAGATTGTCGATAACATAAAAAAAGTTACTGTTTTTGTATAGCACCGAAGATATATATATCTGCAGATAAATTAAGATTAACGATCTTGTTTGCATGAAGATGTAAATTCCCAAATTTGATCTAATTTGGAAGTTGGGGTTACCAATAAATTTACAGCATTGGTACCAATCAAAATCTTAAAGGGAACCTGCGTTCCAATCAAGCAGGGGATGCATCCTTCTGCTTAGTAGTTTTTCCTCTATATAGTTCTTTATGCAAGGGACAATTGCATAAATCTTTGGCAACATTTTTGACAACACTTTTGACAACACAAATCACATGCCCAAGGAACAACTTGTATTTATTGTCGGAAAAGGTTTCTTTAAATTACCAAATCTAGTATTGAAAATAAAATTTCTTAATTCGTACGGGATTTTATTGACTCCTTATGTACCCATCACGACATATTTATCAAATTAAACTAAAATTCGGTCCAACCCTACCTGAAGCACTTTCGTGAGAAGTGAAAAGTTGACAGGGTTTAAAGGTTCCGCCTGATCACGTGAGTTTGTGTATAAAAATCCCAAAAATTTAACTACTAATAGCTTGCTTATTTTGACTGATAATCAATACTCCTAGGTTATGGCGCGTCATTAAAGCGAGAAAGATGAGTTAGCCTGTGAAGATGGGATAGACGCGTTAAGAGGTTCGAAATTTTTTTCGGGGTTGATTTATTAATATATAAAATTTAAATTATGGGGACCGACTTGGTGACCAAATTTTAGCTAAATTCACCGTGTTATATTTTCACGATGTATATTATAAATCCATATTGAAAACTGAATTAAATAATGATAAAAATTCAGTTTCAAGTTTTAATAATGGTCTACTTCCGCTAACCTTTATAGTTACGTACGTACCTCATTACATACCGATACATATTACTCAATCCACGACTCCATTATTATTTCACCGACGAAGTTGGCCCGATTAGCTTAGGGTTGATCTTCTTCATAGTTAGTGTTGACTAGCGTTCAGGGCTTAAACGACTATATTGAAATGCCGGCCATTCAAAAATATCATTCTTGATTTATAGTATAATTGGCTGGTATAGTAAACAATAAGATGAATCAAGAAAAACACATCAAACAATAGGCTGCAGGACGGTAAATTACTATAGGATTTTAAGCCCTGCTAGCGTTCTCTATTTATTCATTAAATTATCCCGTACGTAACCGACCATAAATTAATTCTATCATATCACATGAATAAGCCATTCCAACGACTTATGTTTATCATGTGGCTGAAATTAGTCAAATCATCTCTAATCACGCGAATTTGTACCGTACCTAAGCACTATTCATAGAATTTCTGCAACCATAAAAGTATAACTTTATTCCTGTAAGTCGTTTCCTGGGTTGCAAATTGTACCGTGGTATAGGCTTTTAACCTATAACTCCTAAATAAATGTAATGTGCTAACTAAAGTTATGAAAGGTCGTATGGTAAAATAAAACGCTTTAATACACGATCTTTTCTATATAATCTGAAAATGCATTTCATATATTACACTTTAACACACTCAGCAGCCTTAACTGCTTACATTCCTTAGCCTATCCTTTTAGGTCATTCAGGCGCGAGAAATATAGGTTCATGTCTAATTTATTTTATCGTGACATAATCGTCCACCCTATAAAAAAATTTCCTGGAATCATTCTGAAATTATCCGATCTTTTGTTTGGAAAATCGAGGATGCTTCTTTGATGTTATACGTTTTTTATACAATAATCATTCAATTAAGAATTCTTATTTTTACATCTGTACAAACATAGTAATGAAACCAGACCACTATTCAGAAAATCGACTACATTCCATTTTTTATAAGGTCTTAGTAAATTATTTCAAGAAGTTTAACTACCAATTTGTATAATTACCACAGGAATGATATCAGGAAAATATTATAGATATCAGGTTCTAATTTTTGGTTTGGCTCACATAGTGACAACAACGAAGACATATCAGAAATTGATAGAGCTATTTGACATATAACAGTTCTGATAGCTTATGATAGCTCTATTAGCCTCTGATATATGTTTCTGTTATTGTCGCAATAGGTACCAAAAATAAACAAAAATCAAAGCCTGATATTTCCATAGTATTGTTCTGATATATTTGAGGGTGAGTCAGTAGAAACGCACCAGAGCTTTTTAAATAAGTTTTTTTTTTTAAAAAAAAGGTTTAACCAAATTTATTAAATTTGATGATTAAACCATTGTTATTTTGTTCAAATTTTTTAAAAAATGCCATTAATCTAAGGCATGAATGTGTTATTCATTATTGTTTTTTTGACATTTCCTATTGTAAATCACATAATTAACGTCTAAACCATCTTTTATGTAGGAATATTTATTAAGCAATAATGACGCATTTTATATCTCAGACTAGTACTTAAATTTTGCAAATGCTACATAATGATCAGGGTTGGTCAAATCACTGGTCGACCAAACATTTGTTGGTCGAACTGGTCTGGTCAAATTGGTCAAATGGTCTAGTTTATTAAATAAATAATTTTTAATATACAAATAAATAAACAAATATATTTATATACTTTATATATTATTTGACAAATTTGATCAATACTAAACCTTTTGACCAACTGGTCAAACTGGTCTGATCAAGCTTGACCATTGATTGTTCTATGTCAACTCTGATAATAATGTATTTATAAGTGTATTAGATGAAATCTGCATACACTCTCTTCTAAACACATGAGTTTTGAAGTTAAGTAACTTTTTTGTTAAAAATAGGAGCAAACAACAAGACAAAATCAGCTAAAACATTTACTAAAACAAGTATTTTTGTCCTTGTTTCAAGAAAAAGATCTTTTACAGAATCTCAATACATAAGAAATACAAAAATAATGAAAAAAATAATATCATTAAACAGTAGAAAAACATTAAAGAAAAACAAAGAAAACATATTAAGTTTTTCAAGTTTAGTAATTGATAAAAGAGAAGTTACTAAACATGAACAAAAAGAAAAACAGATACTGAAAAAGGTTCTTGGTAAAAATTTAACAAGTTAAAATAAATAAATAGAACTAGAAATAAAAAAAATAAAAAATTTTAAGACCAAAAAATAAACAAAATTAACATATTCAAAGATACTATAAATACAACAACAAACAATATATCTAAGAAACAGATAAATTCAAACAACATAGTTAAAGTTGAAGATACAACAAGTCAAAAATTAGATAAAACAGCAAATATACAAATTGATAGTTTGCTAAATGAGACACATAAAACTAATCCTTATAATAACTTACAAGAAAATAGTAACAAACAAAAAGATCTAAAAGAAATACTAACTAAACAGTAATTTAGTTTATTTCTAAAGCTAAGAAGAAAACAAGTTACCTATTTCTTCTTCATGTTCAGAAATCAAATCAAATTAAAAAATAAAAATACTCTAATAATAGATGTTCAGAGCATGTATAGCTTTTTTAGTAAAACATGGTCTTATTATTCAATAACCTTAAAAAAGATATTATAGTAATAAAACAATACTTTATAAAAAAAACATGTATATATTTAGAAATTATATTTGAAAACAAAGACAGATTAAAACATTATGCTCTCAAGTGAATTAATATTTTTAGCAAAATCTACTTTAGTTTTTTCTATAGATTTAAGAAAATTATTTTTCTAATTAAGATTAGAAATGTTTCATTAGATAACAAAGAAACAATATCAAATACTATAAAAAAAGACTTTAAGTTTGTTAACAGGATTATATCAATTAAGTTTTTACTAATTAAAGAAACATTATATCTTATAGACTAATAGATTATAATCTTTGAAAACTTGAATAATCCTAACTTAGAAAACAAAATTCTTTATTCATATATATAAAATAATAAAGTTATAACAGAATAGAAATTAGTATCTAAAATATATTATTTTTGTAAAAAAAAAGATATATAAAAAAAAAATATTAACAATTCCAGGACTCAGTAAATTTATAGATTAGTTATCAAAAATACAAAAAGGATAATTACAACAAAAAACCCTCAAATAAGTTTTAAAAATTAAATAAGACTTTAGAAACATCAAACAAAACAATAAAGAATCTTTACTATTAGAGAACTTCAAGTAATTAGAGTTAAATAATATAAAAGATAATGCATATATAACTTTAAAAGAAACTAATTTTAGTTACTAACAAAACTTTTAGTCTCTAATTCTAATAAAACTAGCTGCAATTAACAATAGCTCAGATGAACAAATACAAATATTAACTCAAAAAAATCTTTCATCTGATATAAAAATGTTACCAAAAGATGAACTTGTTATTTATAACTATGGAATATCATACCTATCTGCAAATTACATTCTTAAAGTAGCTTCTTCTTATTACAAAAATAAAAAACAGATAACTTTATTATAATTACTAACAAAAAAACTAAAAAAAAAATAAAACATTTAAAAAGAATAATGCAAGATCATCTTTTTATAAGAAAACTTATAAGGAGGAAAGCTACTTACAAATTTAAGGAATCTAACAACTTTACATAATTTATGTTTAAAAAAGCTAAATTAAAAATATTAATACTAATAACTACCTACTTCCACTTCATTCCTCCAAACAACCCTTTAAATTTTTAGGTTGCTGGTTTACTTTAGATAACAGGCAATCTAAACAAACAAAATTAATCATCTCTGAATCCTCCTAACTTACCCAAATTGCAAAAACAAAACGTATAACTGATTCACATGCTTACTACATTATCAATACAGTTATTATCCCTACTATAAAATACTGTCTACATAATATTGTTATTAACCAACCTATCTGCAACAAAATTTTTACTCAACACATTGGTCTTGTTAAGCTCAAAGCTAA